TGTCCCCCGAGGTACGCTGTAACGAAGTTCGACTGTATTAAGCTTATTTAAATCTTCCAACCATGTTTTCCATAGGCTTAAGATAACATGTGGCAAGGAATCGTCCCATGCACAACCTCTTCTACATAATTCCTGCTGCATCACCTTTGCAGGCAGTGTCACAGGTGCCAGTAAGCCTAGAGGATCGTACACTGAGCAGATGGTTGATAGCATACCACGTCTGGTAAATGCCCTTTGGTTTATCTCAATCCAGAATCTGAAAGAGTCAGTTTCTACGCACCATAGCAGACCCAGAGCTCTCTCCATTGGGAGCTTGTCTCGATCCAAATCTAATTCCTTTAAATCCTTAGCCCTTTGTTCTGTTGCGATGGCCTGCAAAACAGCGCGGCTGTTGCTGATCCACTTTTGCAAGGCAAAACCTCCCCTCTGACACAATCCCGTTAGGCCTTTGATCATCTGGATAGCATCCCCTTCAGTGGCTGAGCTCTTCAAAACATTGTCTACATAGAAGTTTTCCTTGACCGCTTGACATACACAGACCGCAAACTCAGACTGATGATCATCAGCACTTTTCCTCAGCGCATAGCTTGCGCAACTTGGAGAAGACACAGCTCCAAACAGGTGCATGGTCATCCTGTATTGCACCAGGTCTTGAATGACATCTCCATTAGGCCACCACAGAAAACGGAGAAAGTCCCGGTCTTCCTCAGCAACCTTTACCTGGTGGAACATGTCCTGTATGTCACCCATAAATGCCACAGGTTCCTCCCTAAAGCGAAGCAGGACCCCAAGCAGTGAGCTGGTAAAATTAGGGCCCTGAAGCAGCTCTTTATTCAAGGACGCACCCTGAAACGTGGGTCCACAATCAAACACAACCCGAAGGGTTCCTTTCCTTGGGTGGTGTGGGATTCAATAGAATTATAAAGAACATACAATGAATAGAGGAAAAGGAGAATATAGCTTAAAGCAGGGCATGATGAAAAGGGGGGGGGTTCATTCTAAAAAATGCAGTTAACTGAAACGAGAACTGACTGGCGCCGGCAAGGCAAGGTTACCTAATCGGGACCGATAGAGGGAGCGACAGAGANCTGGAAATGTGAACTGCCAGGTTCTTCTGTAGAAGAGTACATGAACAGTGAGGGCATTTAACCTTCTCAAGTGCCGTTGGAAATGGAGAAGAGTGCTGAAAGGGGATGTGCCCGTGCTCTGAAGTAGTTGGCTTTGTGATCCTGAGGGGTGGGGGTTGTGAGGCGTCTACCACGGTGGGTGGCTCCGTGATCCTGAGAGGGGGGGGGTGGGGGTAGCGAAGAGTCCTTCAAAGTGGCTGACTCTGTGATCTTGATAGGTGAGGGTAAAGATGCATCTGATGTGGTTGTTTGGCAAATTTTCAAATGCTCCAGTGTTGCATCTTTCCGAATAATTGTCTTTGAGCAAAAGGGACAGTGGTAATGGCCAGCATGCCTGCAGCCAAGGTTGCACCTATTTATTATGAATTCTGTTGAAGGAATTTAATTTAACAAAGGAATACATTGTCAGTTTGACAGACTTTTATACAACATAACTTGCAGGTCGGTCTTAAATAGGGAGATCAAAACATACGATGCATGAAATGGTACAACACAAATGGGTACCAAGGAATGCTAAATGTTAGTAAGATGTAGTTAAATAAACACTGTTCTGAGAACATATCTACTTCATACACCAGAGTTTAGGAAAATCTAGTTATGTTAATATGATTTTACAAACCAGAAATTCCTACAGATTACATACCTTGGAATGAAATTCCATTCTTTGCGTGTGAATCTAAATGCACCCGGGCTCGCAGTAACGTTGTCGGTTTAAACATCGTTACTGGGCACAAAGGGCAATGGAAACTATTGCAACAGTTAGCACATCTTGCTAACTGAGGCACGGCATTCCTTCGCCAAATTGACCTGTGCATCTGTTGGTCAAAATGAAAAACAAAACACCGTGAAAACGATTGTGTATGCATTTATGGGCTTTTGAAGGAGTGTGAGTACATGAATGCAATTAAGCAACACAGCGATTTGAGTCTGGCTAACTTACATTTACTGTATATATGTATTTCAGTTGCATGAAAACACCATTCAACTGATCAGAGTAATCCACGCATGAAAATAAGTTTTTATTAACTTAATGTAGCAACAACCACAAAAAGCACGAATTGTGTTTTATAGCAGCCAAACAATAGCGAACAAAAAAACAATTCCAACCGTTCTAAACATAACGAACAAAAACCATTCCACTTCTAAACATAGCAAACAAAGTTCCCATCCTTCCTGAATAACTAATAACTGAACATATTTAAACAATTAAAACTGAACTTACCGTTCTACTTTCCTTCGCCAATGTCTTGCTAAACAATGGACGCGCTGCTAATGCTCGTGAGTATCCACCAAACTTTATGCGTGACGTCATTTCCGGGCGCTCAGTGGATTTCCTGCGTCTCAGTGGACGTGAGCCTCAGTGGATGTCTGCAGCCAGACCCTTCTCCCTTACGAGGCAGAAATGTAAAGCGCATTGAGACAATGTAATGTTGTGATAATGCGCTATATAAATAAAATTGAATTGAATTGAATTGCTTCAATTCCCTATTAAATCCCGTGTTACCCCATCCAACCTATTCCTTTCCTGCTTCCCCGCTCAGTGCACCCAGCCTGGTCATGACAGAATGACAGACCTCCATATGAAGACACCTCATATCGGTGAGAAGAACGCATCCCACCTCACAGAAGAGGAGTACCTCGAACTACCCGACGAGGTAATTCACTGGCTAACCCAGCTCCGGGAGTTCCGGGATCCCGTGGCTCAAGGGGTAGCACACAAACGCTGGGATATCCTGGAAGTGATGTCCCTGCCTGGCAAAAACCTCCGGTGGCTTCAAGAAAGGGCAGCAGAAGTGATGATGCAGCAGGTGGACGGTGACAGTGGGCTACTCTACGGTCAGTTATCCCGGCTTTAGAAATACCCTAGAGCTCACCAAAAGCTGGGAGAAAGAAGAAACGGCGGGGTATCCAGAGGCAGGAAGACCCGCCGGGGATCTTCCTAGGGGTTACCTAGATCTCCACTGTTTCCCCTGCCAGGTGTCGGAGGATGCCCCTTCTGAATCTGGACCCAGTATTGTACAGCCCTAACGTCACCACCGCCCCATCGCGCAAGCCCGCCGAGGTTCCCTCAGCTAACCTGAAGCCCACATCGCCGCAGCAATGCTGCCAGCGCCGGCAGCTCACCCCTTCCAGGGATCACGCCTGGCTCTTAAAGGGGCCAGGTCGGTTGGAGACGCTATACCATGGGTTCCCAAGATCCTTAAACGGGCGACTCCGACTGCCAAGGCACAAACCCCTGCTCCGCCCCCTGCGGTTCCTGCACCGGCGGTTGATGCTCCGCCCCCTGCGGTTCCTGCACCTGCTCCTGTGACTCCTACTTTGCCTGTTCCTGACCAGCCTGTCCTGGATGTTCCTGACCTGCCCCCAGAGGTTCCCGCTCTGCCTGTTCCGACTTCTGCGTCCATGCCTCTGGTTCCAGTTTCCCCGGTTCCAGTCCCAGCAGCCACATCACCACCCTCGGAGGCCCCTGCTGCATCGCCACCTGGCGGGGCTCCAGTCCTGGCTGCTGCCTTGCTGCCCTGTAAGGATCCAGTCCTGGCGGCTGACATGCCGTCCTGCGAGGCTTCTGCTCCACCCACAGAGGCTTCTGCTCTGCACATCCCTGCTCCGCCCACAGAGGCTCCTGCTCCGCATGTCCCTGCCCCGGTCCCTGTTTGGCGGTCGCCTGTGGTCCTCCTTGCTCCGGGTCGACGGTCACCTGCGAGTCCCTCTACGGCGCCTCGTCGGTCGCCTGCGATCCCTCCCTCGGCGCCTCGTCCATTGTCGGCGGATCCCCGCCTCCGACTCGTTGATCGCCTGCGCCTTTTCCGGCTGCGGCGTTGCCTTTGCCTGCCGCGGCTACTGCTCTCTCCTCCCCTCCGTCCATGTCCCCTTCGTCTCCTTCCTTGGCTCCTCTGTCGGTTCCTCCACTTCCCTCCTCGTTCCCTTAGTTGTCCCCTTTGGCTGTGGCCTCCCGCTCGCTGAGGGTCCTTATGGCGCCAGCCTCCCGGTCACCTGCTGCCCCTGTGGCTCCGACCTCTCGCCTACCAAGGTTCCCTCAGGCTCCCCATTTCCCCTGTCCTTTGCCTTCCTGCCACCTGGTTTTGTGCCCCCTGTGTCTGCTCCTCGTCCCTCCGTTCCTTTGTTGTTCACTCCTGGTCCTGTTGTTCCTCCTGTTGGTGTTCCCCCTGTGTTTCCTATTTTGGTGCCTCTATGCCTGTCTGTGTTCCCCGTGGTCTGTCAGTGGTTGTCTAGCCTGTTGTCTCTGTGCCTGTTCTGTAGAGGTCGACCGATGTATCGGTTTTGCTGATTAATCGGCACCGATAGTTGATTCCCGGAACTATCGGTTATCGGCAAAAATCCACGCCGATAGTTTTTCCGGGTTGCGTCAGAACTGAAGCGGCTGAGAACGGTCCGTTGTCCTTATACAGTGCGAGAGCCAACATATATATCTATGGCAAGAGCCGCCTCTATAGGCGAAAATCGCTGTAAAGCACGTGCTTTTGTTTTGACACGTGATACTGTTCGTTGCAAGGAGAGCGCAAGCTGCCTGGAGAGAGCGCAGTGCACGGACAACGCTGACACTTCAAATGCACGTTTAAAACACAGACAGTGAAAAGGTATGTATACAGTACACTACAGTACATGTTTTCATCTCAATATAAAGTAATTCATTTGTTGATTAGATTCTGCATTGGAGAAAGAACAGCAGTATGTTTGTCGACAAGGCTGAGAGCATTAGCAGTACATCAAGTGGTTAAAATAATGTGGAAAAAATATACGCAAGTCCGACCCAAATGTTTAATGTCATGATTGTTACCATCAGGAATGCATTCGATTTCAGTTCTTTTTATCTTCAGGCACAGGGTGCGATTTGCCGGGGGGGTGGGGGGATCCGACTGGAGCGCTTCGAAACAGTGAATCTTTTTGCGACGCAGTGTTTTACTGATTCGGAGTTTCAAAAAGCTCTGTTGATACTTTGCTCACCTTCTCTATATAATATATTTGTTGTTTAAAATGAAATCATTACTATTGTTAACAGATTACACAAACAGTTTGGTCAACCTCTGCCTATGGAGAGAGAAAAAAGTTTTCAAAATAGAAGCAAATATAGTGGGAGACTACACATATAATGTACATTTTATATAATTATGTAACATTCATTTAATACTCTGACATTTAAAGATGACCACTTTAGGCATGATTTATGTGAAATGGTTAATGTTTTACAGTGACATTACATTTAACTGAGGTTAATAAATGCTTTAGATGTATTGTTTATTGTTTGGAGTGCCTTTTATTATTCATTTTGTATGTAATTTTTTTTATTTATTTGGGCGAGTTTTTGTTTCAGTTTGAAAGCATGTCTTTAATTTACCTCAATATTTATTAATATATTTATATTTATTTCATATAGCACATTTTCATGATTCAGTACTGTTTTTTTGTTTGTTTTTTGTAATAAAGTTTAGTACTATTTTACATGGAGTGTTGTGGTACGGACCAACCTAGCTATCGGTATCGGTAAAATTCAATATCGGTCGACCTCTACTGTTCTGTGTGTGTGTCCTGTTCCTGGTATCTCGTTAATGTTCTTGGTTTTGTTTTCCCTAGGTCCTGTCCTAGTCCCGCCTCATCCGTTGCCTCCCTTGAGGCGCGCCCGGAGTGGGGCGGGGGGGTTCTGTCATGCCCTGCTCGTCCGATCCTCCTGTGTGCCATGCCCTCTCATTAACCTTGTGTGGAATCCCACTTGTTATTAGCTCTCTCCTCTTTTTCCATTGAGTTCTGTGTATTTTAGTCCACATTTCAGTCCATTTCCCTAAGTCTGTCATTGAAGTCTTGTGGTGTAGTGCTACCTGTTTCTTGCGTGTTCCATGTCCCTGCTTCAATTCCCTACTAAATCCTGTGTTATCCCATCCAACCTCTCCTGTGTTATGTGCCGTAAGTTTGGGGTATGTGCCGTAAGTGTTACATGCTGTAAGTTCAGGAGGATGCCTACAGGTTCTTCGGACGTCCTGCCCACTCGCCCATTTGTCAACTGCTCCCTAGACTCCGCCTTCTGGGCCTGGCCCCGCCTCCCTTGCCTTCGGAGCAGTTTCCGGTTCGTCGGCTGAAGAGGCTGCAGCTTCGTCCCTTCGTCTGCCTGCTACTTGCTTCTGGCCTGCTAGCTCGCTCTTAATTCGCTTTGCCTTTGGTTTGAATGCTCGTGTATGACTGCTTTTGTTCTTGGTTTCCGATTTTCGCCTCGTCCCTTATTGTACCTTCGCCCTGGTTTTGACTGTCTGCTTGGTTTTGAACTTTTGCTCGTACTTCGACTTCGCCTCTTTGATCTCCCCTCAGGATACTGTCACTTCGGCTGTGTGTTTGTGTGTTCCACTAGGTGTGTGTCTGCCTTTTTGTTTCTTCGTCAACGTGGGGATTACTGTTTGTTTGCTTAGGGAGATAGGCTTAGGCATTGTTGTTTCGTTTCACCTTTTTGTTGTGTTCACTTAGGATTAACTTAGGTTGTGGTTGTTTTCGGTAGATGTGTTTTTGTTTGTTTCTTTGGCTTTTGTCACTCCTGACGTTCATTACACCTAGTGTTTGTTAAGTGTCTGTGAAAAACAATTAAAAAAAAAACATAAAAAGACTCCCTTTGTGTCCCGTGTTCCCTTCTCCTACTCCTGGTTGTCTTGTCCTTCCCAATCCCTCCTTCCCTTTCACTTTGTTAGGCTGCAACCCTAGATTGGAGCGTAACACCTGCTTCCCTGCTCAGTGCACCCATCCTGGTTATGACACCTTCTGTGGGCTTTTTATAGTGGCAGTAACAGAGTGATATGCTTCCACAGAACCAGAAGCGCTCTGTAGGATACTGCTGCCGGTGAACTGCTGGTAACACCTTTTACCTTCAGCCTGCAGAGAAATATGCTTTGAATTAAGGGGAAACCCTTGTACTGTCTGCCAAGAGCTTTTGTGGCAAGCATTAATCCTCACTGCAAATATAGCCTGTCTTTGTGTGCTCGTCTAAAGGAAGAATGCAAGACCCTCTTCATGGGATTAAAGTTGATTGCCTTTTTTTGTTTACTCCAAATTCAATTCAGCTCTGCCACTCAGATATCCCAAAACCAGTCAGGCATTTTCCTTCCCACCATCACACAGTGAACCATGCGCATGACAGATAAATAAATGCTAAATAAAAAAATGCTTAATTAAAAAAAATATATGCATGTAGGCCTATAATCCAGGATAGGCATCAGACCCAAGCAGGAATAGAAAATGGATGGATGGGATATACTGTAGTTGCTTGTTTTACATGAATTAGTTAATCTGTGTATGTCACTGGGCCAAATGATTTAAAATATTTAGTAAAGATTACACATGCAGTTGTCATACTTAGTATCCCTATATAATGATTAATAATAA